ATCAGCGGCAAAGGCAAAGTCATGTTCAAAAGGGGCCAGAAGGATAATTCAGGGAATTGCGGGCTAGTCAGCATCACTCCAGGCCGCGGGGAAGTCGTGGAGTGGGTCCTCTGGGAGCACATTTCTGGGCCCACGAAGGGTGGGGTGGCTGGGAAGAGATAGGAGCCCCGAAGTGGCCAAGAGCTGGAGAACTTGCACTGTAAGGGGAGGTTGGTGGGAGGAACGTCCTGGGCTCGCTCCCTCTGGAGCAGAGCAGGTTTGTGGGAGTCTCATAGCAGTCTGCCAGCACCTATGTGGAGGTTTCAAGCAGATGGGTTAAGCTGTCCAGAGGAATGCAGGGCTGGAAGATAGGAGACAATGGGCATAAGTTGAAACAGTAGAGGTTAAAACTGCTTGTAAGGGAAATCGTTTTCACTATGAGGACGGTCAAGCAGTTGAACAAGTTGTCATTGGTATTAGCCCAACTGACCACAGGGCTAGTTAGCACAGGTTGCTCAGGCCTGTGTCTGGCTGAGTCTGAGGACAGAAGTTTTATGGTCCAGTATTGGGCCTCTCATCTAGTATTTGACCACCCTACTGTTAAAAAAAAAAAATAAAGATCAAACAATATATTGACTTGGAATTTCCTGTGTTCCGGCTTGCAGCTGTTCCCTCCCATCCTTCCATTGTGCATCTCTGGGAAGAGTCTGGCTCCCATCACCTTGATAACCTACACAGTATTCCATTAAGTAGTTGCAGAAAGCAGGAAGATTTCCTTTTTGACTCTCTCTTTTCCAGGCTGAACAAACCTCGTTCTTCTTCCTTGCGTGTTATTTTCCAGTCCCCTGACTTGAAAAGACCCCTTAGTGTTCCTCTGCTGGACTCACACCCATATGGCAAAAGGGTTGTTTTGTCTGATGAGCTCAAAATTGTTCACAGTACTCCAGATGCAATCTCATAAATGGAGGGGACAGTTCAGCTCAGCCTGGGGCTGTACTCTCACTAATGCAGCTCAGGATGCTTCTTGCAATCATTGCTGCAAGAGCACATTGTTGATACTTGTTAATGTTCTTTTTATTTGTCAGTTAAGAAATATTTTAAGTGTAGCAAAAGTTTTCATCTTAGCCATGTTAACCATTTGGTTTGGTTTGCTTACTGAGGGTGACATACACCAGTAAAGCAAAGCTGGATATGCCAGTGAGGAGGTAGGTGAGTAGAACTGGTGAATAAAGCTTGTGTTTAGAGCATTCTTCTTTTTTTTTTTTCCCTGCAGGATGCACTGGTTTAGAAGAGCTGATGGGGATTGATCCTTCATTTGAAGTGTTCCAGTCCAGTTTGTTTAGCTCCACATCCAAAGGCCTGGAACGCAGTGTTCAGTCTAAAGCAGTAAACCAGCAGCTGAATAAGAATATTTCATTGTTCCTCATTCACCTCTCCCCTTACTTTATGCTTAAGCCAGCCCAGAAGTGCCTTGAATGGCTGATTCACAGGTAATCCACTGAATATCCTACATGTCAATAGAAATGGCTGTTAGAAATGCCAGATTTTAATACATTTACTTTAGTTTTCTGAAAATAGAAGTTCAAATGTTAAGAATACCATTTGGGCTTAGTCTTTATGGGGTGAAATGTTCATCTTTGCCAATTAGATTTTTGTTGTTTGATAAATTTCTGTGAAAATTTTTACCTATCATGATATTCTACATAAAAGCAATTATTTCCTTGCCTAGCTTTCACTTAATTTGCTCAGCTCTAGCCATCTGGCAGATGACTTGGAGAGGAATTATGTAATATATGTTTTAGAAATGGGCTGTGTAAAATAGCTAATTCTCAATATTAACTGAATAACATGTCATTTTATTATAACATAATACAAGTTATATACTTACAGCTAAGAGTTCTTAGTTCAAGGTTATGTGGTAAGGTGTGAAAGAAAAAAACTATTTTGCAGGTGTTGTGTTTATTTATATAAATTAACCTATCCAAGTGCAGAAAGTGTGATATTTCATGTCATGAAAAAGTGGGTGATTTTGTTGATACAGATTATTTGAAGTGTCTATATATGTTTTTTTTCCTTAGATTTCACATCCACCTCTACAATCAAGATAGTTTGATTGGTTGTGTTCTGCCATATCATGAAACTAAATTATTTGTGAGAGTTATTCAACTTCTAGATATAAAAAGCCCAACTCATAAATGGCACTGGATGGATCCAATAAGGGTAAAGTATTTAATAGATGCAATCTGGGAGAAACATGAGGGACTTTGTTTTTGTCTTGATTCTTTTATGAGTTTATGAGTATGGTCTACCTGTTTGTGTGGGTAGAACCCTTATAAAAAGCTTTGACGGTAATTACTCTTTGTTTTGGCAAAGTTAAAGTATGCTTTTAAGGTCCAGGTACTTACTACTGATAAGAAGGTATGTCCATTACAAAAATCTGTTTATTTGAACATAAATTGTATATAATGTCTTAATGTAGATAGGAAAAATTACAGAGAGGTGTGTGCATTTCCATTACTTATTTCAGTTTAAATGCTGTTAATTGATTGGCAGGATTAATTTAGAGATTATAGTCATAATCTCTAAATTAATCCTGTATCCTTGAGTATTCTAATTCTACTTTTATCACCATGTAAAGAAACCTGGAGTCCCACTGGCAAGGGGTACTGTCATTACACACTGCTACAAAGACCTGAATTTCATGGATTTCATCTGCAGGCTGGTGGCAAAATCTGTGAAGGTTTGTTAATTTATTCTTATTTGTTTGTTGTCACTTGGTTTTCCCCTTCTTTGTATGTGTATATTATTATGGTATTTACTAATATTTTGAATTACTTATCAAATAGTAAAAGGAGTCATTTATTATTAAACAGTGTGAACACTTCCTTTTCTTATTGTTTGTGTAGATGACTATCCGAAATTCTTGTAAGTAGCTGAGAACCAATGAGCCGTGATGCAATAATTTGGCAATACTATGTTACTTTAAGATACTGTATTCCTTCAGAGTACTTAATTGTATTTATTTCTGTTATAAAGTC